TATCATGTGTTACAGCAGCTCACATCAACAGGCACAAATATGAGCCGGATTTATTGTTTTATGTAATGCTGTGACTGAATCATATATCATGCATCATTTTAAACCTCAAGATAGCACAAATTCCAAACATACAGCCAAACGTGAACTCACAAAATCACATTGGACCACTGCTACAGGGTAATAAAAGACACCTATCGCTCTGTCCCCCGTGCAGCCCTCGGACTCTGATCACTGTATGGTCCATCTCATCCCAACCTACAGGCAGAAACTTAAAGCTGCAAAGCCTGTGATCAAAACAGTGAAGAGATGGACTGAGCAGCCAAAGTCAGAGCTACAGGCCTGCTTTGACTCCACAGCATGATGTATTTGAGGCTGCATCTACAGACCTGGATGAACTCACTGACACTGTGACATCATACATCAGCTTTTGTGAGGATGTGTGTGCCCACCAAGACCTTCTGCACATACAACAACAACAAGGCCTGGTTCAAAGGAAGCAGCTTCGTCATGCCAAAGAGGAGGCCTATAGAAGTGGGGACAGGATCCTGTACAGGCAGGCCAGGAACACACTGACAAAGGAGATCAGAGTAGCAAAGAGGAGCTGCTCTGAAAAGCTGAAAAAGCAGGTTTCAGCTAACAACACCTTGTTTGTATGGAGACAGTCCATAGACATGCAGTTTAAGTTGATTAGTGACTCTAAATTGCCTGTAGGAGTGAGTGTGAGTATGTGTGGTTGTGTGTCTACATGCCAGTCCTGTGATAGACTGGTGACCTGTCCAGGGTGGACCCCGCCCCTCGCCCAATGTCAGCTGGGGTTGGCTCCAGCCCCCCTCTGACCCTATTCAGGAAAGGGCAGTATAGATAATAGATTGGCAGATGGATATACCTATCTGAAAACTTCCATCTACACTGTGTATATGAACATACACTGATCAGGCATAACATAGTGATGACCTGTACACCTGTATGCACTACAATGCAACAATTCAGAGGTGTCTGTATATTTGTGTCCTGCCCATTGACATACATGAGAGGGTCAGAACATTAGGAACACCTCTGAATATAATGTAGTCCAATACAACATCACCTTTAACTATGACCCCAATAATGAATATATAATTGAATTTATACATTTATGACAATCTCACCAAAACCAGAAACATTTTGAGTTTCATAAACACAAATGTTAAGGCAGAAGTGTTGTATTGAAGTGCATACAAATGTACAGGTGGTCATAATGCGACATCTTTGGCCATTACCGACCTGATGGAGGACATTACAAGTGCTATAGATGAGAAGAAATACACGATGGGGATATTTATTGACCTAAAAAAAAAGCATTTGACACAATCAATCATGAATTATTAATGGACAAGTTAGAAAAATATGGGATCAGAGGAATGGTTCTGAAATGGATTAAAAGTTATTTGACACAGATGCGTCAATTTGTGAAGTTGGGTGAATACCAATCGAGTGAGCTGGATATTGTATGTGGAGTGCCTCAGGGTTCTGTTTTGGAACCTAAATTATTTATATTATACATTAA